GACTTGTATTATGAGTCTGAGTCTGTGGTCTGGGAGAGAGTCTGTAACTCTCTGTCTGCAAAATACAGTAAATAATGACCAATGTTGGGCAATTAATTATAAAGTTACTTCTTCAAAACAAGTAACTGAGTTATGGAAACAACAAAGTTTTTTTGCAGCTGTTTACCTAAAAATGCAGCCAACGCGGTTTTTAAATAAACATTTCAAACTATTTACAGAACAATCAGCTGTTCTGCATCAAATTTGATGCCACACAAATTATTTGTGTCACTCCAAAAATAATTTCTGTCCACTATGAGATAAAGGAGAACCTGTAACATTCAGCAGTCGCCTCATTGTTCTGACACACACAAAAAAAACTATTGACCACACTACACACTAACTACACAAGATTTGCGCTAAACGTCGCAAATCTCTCACATCTCAAAACACCGCCGTCACTCCTTAAACTTCCCCCCTTTTCTAAACAACTACATGCCATCTTGCCATATCATTCTTTGATTGGTCGACATGGTACATTTTTCGACCAATAGGAAAGGGTGGGGTTTTTTGGTTTTGTTTTTGCTGACAGGCGGAGAGCGCTTTTGAGCGTTTTCCTTATAAAACGCAGTTTTTACAGTTTCTTCCTGCAGTAAATATAAACAACGACAGTATTCAGGAAGAAAACCAAACATTGCAGATATTTTTATCATAACTCTGGTTTGACGTGGCCGATCAACACAATTTAAAAACTGGTTTTTAGTTTTAATTTTCATTTCAATTCAGGTTAGATTTTTTTTTTTTGTGCGCAACGCAGATTTTCTGTGCGCAGAGACCGTGCCAGCAGTGCACGCGCGCAGCTTAGAGGGAACATTGCCCATCAGAACCATACTGCTATTTCTAATCTGCCTACAAATATTCTTTCATACCTATATTGCTCTTTTGAGATTTGCATAATCACTCTTATTAAACAAAGCACAATATAAATAAATTCATGTTGGTGTACTGCAGAGCCAAGCTCTTAAAGACCTCAGTACAGGTTTTGCTGGAATATTAGAACATAAAACTGAAAGCAACAAATGGTCAACCTTATGCTACTGAGGTCATGGACAGGTGCGAGGTCATGTCATGATTTGTGAACTATTCATTTTGAATGTTTTAAAATATATCATCTTCTTACAGGGTTATCAACTCTGAAACCTCCTCCTGTAAAATGGGGTTTGCTGCTCAGCTGAGGCAGAAGCTCCGGGTGCTCCACCTTGATCTTTGTCCTCTGCTCACTGAGGAGACACACAGTGAACGAAAGAATGAGCAGCTGAACGTTTTCTCAGTGCGTTATATACTGGAGCTTTTAATTAGAACAAAGATCAGCCTCACCTTTGGAGCTTTTTCTCACTTAGGTACTTCTTCGTAACGTTTGCTAGCTCCGTGGCCAGTCTTTGATTCTCACTTTTATACTCATTCATCTTCGAGTCAAGCATCCTCAACTCTGCTATCAGTGCCTGAAAAATTAGATGGAAAAACATCTTTTTGTCAGAGATGTGAGAAACCAGTGCCATCTGTCTAAAATAGATATTAAAAAATACTGTCTTTCATGTTGGTGCCAATTTTTCTGACTTTAAAACAATATATATTATTTTATTGAAAGTCATTATTTATATCAAAAAGTAAACGCAAACAAATGATACAAATCTGGAATTTTCTGCACAAGACCTTGAGCTTTTTGGTTCTGTCTCGGATGGTCCACTGACACTGCTGGAGCTGCTCGGCTGCCTCAGGACCTGGCTGCCGGGCCAGAATGTGCTTTAGCTCCACATACAGCTTCTCCTTTTCCTTCATGGTAAAATTAAAAGAAAGGAAGTTATGGGTAAAGTACATGGCTTAAAAGAAGACCATGCATCTGTGAGTCACACTTGAGTAAACTTGAAAAGACTAATGATCCAAAGAGGCTTGTGCAGGTACAAAGCAAAGATCATTAGTTAGATCAGTTAGTTTAAAACAAGTGTTCAGGTGTTCACCTGCAACAAGAGCTC